GGGACTGTTATGAATAACATTTTCAAGTCAATAACTGTCCCTCTCCGTTATTCCAGGAACAGATTTAATTACTAGGTATCTGCTCTCCCCCTACATCCCCTAAAACAGGACATATGGCTTGAATCATCAGCCACACCGTTCTAAGTCCAACCTTTAACTTTTAAAGCTGATTTCCAGGATGGTGTTTACCTTGCACGTATGGGGAAATGCTCTGATGTGTGGAGCCTTTTTATGCTTTTCTGGGGCTATTAGGACGACCAAGAACAATGACCCGTGCTTTCCCAAGAGACACAGAGTACACCTCTTCACACCTAGAGGGCTCAGAATTCTTTTTTCCATAGCAAACGTTGGCAGCTAGCAGAGGACATCTCAGGGTAACTGAAAATTAGCTACCGGGTTCCTCTAGAGCAGGGGTTCCCAAACTTTTTCGGTCCCCGTACCGCCTTAGCTTTTAGTAAACCTTCCCGTACCCCCTAGTCATCATGAAAGGAAATACATTCTAGACTCCAGAAGCCACAATTTTTTTCACTAACACTACTACTTTTGGAATATTTCAATTAGGATAATCTAGTTATTTACCAAATATTCCCCGTGCCCCATTGACAAGCTTCTCATACCCTCTGGGGGTATGCGTACCCCAGGTTGGGAACCCCTGCTCTAGAGCACCTGTTCAAAGGCAAGAGTGTGGAGATTACCACCTGATTTTCTACAGCGGTGGAGTTTGGTGATCTCAAATGCTATCCCAACAGAAAGGTTGCCAGACCATCTAACATGCAAAATGGTATCACAGCCGGCATTAATTGTCAGCCTTATTAATAGTGTTCGAAGAGGCCCCAATTAGAAAGGGCACATGCTCCAGTTCCACTGAAGTCAATGTGGCCAGAGAGAGAAAGAACTGAACATGTAGAGAGACCATTCCCATGTTTAGAGCTGAGACATATCGGTGGGTCAGCATCAAGAAGCTTGCACTATGGTTGTTTGTCCTGAAGATAAGCAGGAAGACTTTTGTTTCAAGGGCTGTCAGTCTGCAACCTTTCTTGAACACTAGTCATACTTTTTTTTTTAAGACAGCTCCCTCCGTACCATCCTACCACTCGTGCTGTATTTTGAGAGAGCGAAGGCAATAACGTGCATCACTGTGATGATACATCCATCAGTTGCCATCCGCTCACAAAAAGTAAATAAGCAAGCCCTCAACACAGACTTTAAAAGGCATATCTCCCCTCCCCAAAAGGCACTGACTATACAGACTTAAAAAGACATATGCATACACACCCCTTTGCTCTTCCATTACTCACTTCTCTCCTGATGACACCAACCGCAACATGAGCTCATTAGAAACCAACCTCTCGCATCCCTGCCTGCCTGCTCTGCACATTGGAAGCCTTGCTCTAGAAATCCCACAGACATCCCATGCTAGTTTCCTCCCACACTAACAGGGGCTTGCTGAGCATGGACTCACCTTCACCTCAAAGATAAGAAAAGCAAAAAAGTCGTTTTGGTGGTCTCTCATGGGTCCTCTGGACTTGATAAGCAATATGAGAGACACCCCTTGTTACCACCACCCACCCCATGTGTCTCCTATCACCTGCACTGCCACCCACAGAACTCTTTACGAGGGGCCTTTATTAATAAAAGGAAACAAGCATTTGGTGGGATGGGGGGGTGATGTTCATTATTTTCTCTGATTCTGGGAGCAGTATCAGAGGAATGAGCTAACCCTCATTAGAGCCTTCCTGCCCACATTATTCACATTCTACAAACTCCAGTCTTCCTAGTCCCAGCTCTTTGACCCCAAGTGTGGTGATTCACCACGGGCAAAGGCTGGACAGCAGCTCCCTTCAAAGACCAGAATAAAACCACAATCAATTGACCAAGGACGATGCGCCGGTAAATCTTTTGCTGAAGGCTGACTGTGTTGCCTTGGCAACTTGCCTGACCTCCATTGCTTCAGGGAGTGAAAACGTGCTGCCAATAAGAGATTTCAATTAATCCACCCTATCTCTTAGTAGTGATAGGATTTCCCTTCTCTGGCTAGCCGGCTGTGTGCCCAGCACTCTGAACACAGGCCTGGCTTTCTCCTTGACCTACCATTTAGCTCTCTCCTTAGGCTGCATTTGTCTCCTGATAGTTATGCAATGAGAAGAACAATGAGACCAGGATGTACTTATAATGCCTGCCTGTGAACTCTCTGTCCTGGGCATGGACAGGTATGTTTAATTGTCTAGAAGAGCCAATTCAGCAGCTACGGAAGGGAAGGGAACTCTGAAAATAAGAGGAGCATCCCACCTATAAAAGGGTTTATGCTGTAAATGACCCCAGGGCAGGGCACCACTGTGTGTGCTTTGCAGCACCAACTGAGTTGTAAACTCCTAGCAGTGTGCATAGAGGTATGCATCACAGACGTGCTGAACTCTATCCATTCTCCTTCTTGGTGGATTCCCATTAAACATTCACTAGTAATAGGCTATGGAGGACTTTTACCATGGCTGGGTGCGGATACCTTCAGCACACATTTTAGCATGGAGGAAGGTAGAGGAGCTGTACACTCTGCCACATAATGGGAGGGTTTAGAGCTTGCTCTGCCCTCTTGGTTGTACATTCTCCAGTCTCAGTGGGACATCACTTTGCATGGGATCATTGGCACGCTGCCTTCCATGTCACACCACACCTCCTAGCTCTCTATAACCCAGACCAGCTACTTGGCCTTAGGCCTTGGCCACTGAGGAACACAGTCGAGGATCCATTATGCAAAAAACTTGGTTTTTCAATGGACACTGAAAAGGAGACGGCTTGTTACACAGGGTGTGGTTTCCAGGAAACAACATGCTGTGGGAGAGTTCTGGACCTGTGGTGTCACCGCGTCCCCTGAGCCTGCCAAGTATGTTCTAAAAATAACCAGTAATGGGAGAGTACAAAAGCCATTAAAGCAAATACTAAGACAAAATGCCTGAGGCTCTATTTAACACAATGGAGTGTTTTACTAGTGCAACCTCCTTCTAAACAACAACTGGCATGTGACCTTTCACGGACACATGCACATAATGAACCTGCTGGCTTGTTACAGGATGACTTGGTGGGAAAAAATTGCCCTGGGAAAGGTAGAGGCTACATCAGCATTTAGCTAGCTGAGGGAGTTCCAAAGCAATCAAAGGAAGGGAAATGTTGAAAGCATGGAAAAATAGGAAAAGAAGCTGGTTTTAATGGTTGGGAGAACAACTGATTCTCTACATGTTCCTCCCACCTTCCCTTGACATCCCTTTGCCTTGTCTCCTGCAGTGCAAGATTGAGCAATCCCTGCATAATCAATGGAGTTCAACCACAGATGAGTCTGACTCCGTGTATTTGCTACTAGAGGGGAGAATCTCAAAGCCACTGAAGTCAAAGGGGAAGTTTTGCCACAGAGTTTAGTGGGAGCACGAGGAGGCTCAGAGCACACAACTGCTGATTCATTATTTATTATCATAGCACCTGGGAGCTCCAGTCCTGGCCCAAAACTCCACTGTGCTAGGTGCTGAACAAAACACAGAACAAAAGAGACATTCCCTGTCCCTAAAGAGCTGGCAATCTAAGTATCAAAGAGAAAACAGATGGCTCTAGAAGAATGAAGAAACACAAGGAAAACAATGAGACAATATTGGTCGGCATCATAGACACTAACATTGTTAAGTTGGTTATAGTTTTAAGAAGGGATTTAACAGAGGATAATGAGATAGTTTGGTTGCTATTTACAAGAAGCACCCCCCAGTTGTGAGGAGAGGCATGGGAAAAAGCATAAAGGTGTTCTGTTTGACAATTTGGCAAGAGGACAGTGAAGGCTAGCATTGGGCGCTGATCAGAGGAGAGTATCAACATCTCAATACTGAATGACAGATGAAAGGTTGGTGGGGATAGGCTGTGAAAGGCCTTAAAACTGTGTTTTATGTAATAGAGAAGGGGGTACCAATGCAGGGACATAAAGAAAGAGGTGACAGGGTTCAAGGGACAGGCTAGGAAAAATGACTGTGCAAGTTACTTCAGAGCCAGCTATGCCCGTTCTGAAAATATTGTATTATATACACATAAATCTCGTGACATGTATGAACTTTCCAGCCAGAATCATAATCCCTTTAATTTATAAGGGACTTCACGTATATACCTTCCTATAAACACAAGGTCCCTTATACATGAAAGGAATTGTGATTCTGGCTGGAAAAATTCTTGTAAATCAGGAGATTTCAAAAGCAACACCCAACAGTTTTGCAAACAACACATGCTATGTATGTAGGACCACTCTCGTGGTCAGCATCTGCATACAATATACCTTAAGAAACAGAGAGAGGTGGGGAAAAAATAAGGACCTCTAAATGAACTACATTCAATGAGAAGTTAATTACTATCACATCTACACATTTTATAGGCTTTTGTATTTCCAATATATGCTATCTTCCACCCAGAATATAATTATAAAAACTTTCAAAAGTAACTTACAATAATCCTGGGACATTTAACAGAAAGAAATATATACTATGGAGTGGTTTTTTTTTATTTTACACGCATTCTGGCTTCATCCAACTATTATTCTACATTTGGGCCCTATTAAAAAGGCAGTGCTGTGTTCTTAAGTCATTCACAAATAACTACATGTATTCGTGTTTCTCCCTATACAATGATCTGAGGATACATTTTCTCTCTGAGGAGGAGGTTAACACCTGTGTTTATCTTATACATACACCCAGCATTACTGCTTTATTGTTCCATAATAAAGATGGAAGTGCTTCTGTAATGACAATACAAAATAATAAATATAAGAAAAAAGGGAATTGATGCTTTATATTTGGTTATCTGAGGCTTCTTCTGGCACTTAGAAACATACATCTGTTTGTGGTTCTAAATACAAAGTAACACCGGTATTTGAAACACAAGATTTATTTTAAAGCTATATCGCTAATGAGGTAACAGAATGAAAAAGTTTGCTTCACCAGGAAGTATCTATGGAACATTCAAAAGACTGGACTTACCTATTTTCCCTTAAAGCAGCAGGACAAGTCAAACAACAAGTGAAATTTCCCAAGTGTGCTTTCTTCACTGATGTTGCATATGTTGTGACTAATATGACTACTAGGTCAAGAGTGGTTCCTTGGTTTTCAATCCAGAACAGGCTCCTAAATACTGATTTCCTTTTGGATCTGTTGAGTTCACACCAGCTGAACAGACGACAGCCATACAGACCCACATTTCACAAATAGGAGTGGTGCCTTCTCGCACCCTCTCCGTACTAGATGATTAACTGTCCCAGAGAACAAGGAAGACTGCTAGTTCATAAACATGTGACAATCACCAAAGGAATGTTAGCCAAAGAAGTGGCAGAGAAAGCAGACTGAATCACTCCCAACTGTGACTGCTTATCTACTTCTTCCCCAACGATAATATTTCCTGAACATGTAGTCACCTGTCTGGGTATTAGCACTTCCTTGAACTGGCCAATTTTCTTGCTGGCAAATTTACACAATTTACACCCCCCCCCCCCCCAAATTCATTCAACTTTCCAGCGCAAGAACATAATTCTTCCTGTCCTGCTTAAACTCAAATTCTGGCCATAAATATTTTGGATCAGCTAAAGAAATGCATCTTTTCTACTGCCAATAGGCTCACAATGAAAAGTAAACTAACCATCACAGCTGATACTGGTAATGTTTCACCTCCAGGAAGTATTGCACTGGTAGCAAGAAACAGAAATACATTTTTGGTCAGGCCTCACTCAGTCAGTCATTACTTCATTTAACAGATCGATACAGCCTCAAGCTGATCCCCATTTCATTTACTAGGATTCCAAAACTAGGAGAGCCGACAAGTTGCCATGTTATACTTTTGTAGGTGGGATTAATATGCATTATGAGGTCAACTGTTCTGAGACTAAAAGCGGAAGCCTGCACCTGTATGGGCAGAACAGCATTGTTCATTCACAAGTGTATACTGAGTGATATATTAGCCAGTTACATGCCACTCCGGTGCGCAAACAGAGGCAAATTAACACTGGAGAGCATTTCTATTAAAACGGTGCTTCATTGACAACAAAAGATACAAAAGGCACTTCTATTTTTAAAAAATCTTTAGTGTCCTTTTAAAGGCCACTTATGATGTTGTAATGCTGATTTCAGTGCCGTATTATGTATTCAGCGCCCATATGCAGCTGCCATTAACATCTCCTGCATGTAGGAATCATTAAGACATAATATGGCCCTACGTTTACTGGTTTGCACTGAAGGGCTTCCTTCCCTGCGTTCTTTAGGGTGAATCCAAACTCACCCTCATTGCCTGCAGGGGGCCCCTTTGCATCAGAAACAGAGCAATTCCCAGTAGTGGCAATTCCATCAGTAAAAAAAACTAGTAGTCCTGTAGCACCTTAGAAACTAATAAGAATATATATGTAGTATCATGAGCTTTCATGGGCAAAACCCTAGTTAGAGCATGATTTAAAAAAAAACAAAACCTTTAATATCTTCAAAAACAACAAGGAGTTTTGTGGCACCTTAGAGACTAACATATGTATTTATTAGGGCATAAGCTTTCATGGGTAAAATCCACGTCAACAGATGAATTGGAGTGGAGTTATACCAGGCATAGGTATATCTATAAGGACAACAAAAGAAAGAGGGTACTTGTGTAACTAAGCTTAAATGAAACTCCACCATGTATACTGGCCAAACCAGAGAGTGTCTATGTCAAAGGATAAATGGACACAAATCAGACATCAGGAATGGTAAACCTGTAGGGGAACACTTTAACCTCCCTGAACATTCAGTAATGGATTTCAAAGTAGCCATCCTTCCACTAAAGAATTTCAAAACCGGATTACAAAGGGAGACAGCTGACCTGGAATTCATTTGAAAATTCAGTATCATCAGTTTAGGACTGAACAAGGATCTCAACTGATTAACGCATTACAAAGGCAATTTCCCCTCTCGATATCCACATTTCCACATCATCTGCTGTGAATGAGCCACTTCAACTCTAACTTGATTAGCTTTGTTACACAAGTACCCTCTTTCTTTTGTTGTCCTTATAGATATACCTATGCCTGGTATAACTCCACTCCAATTCATCTGATGAAGTGGGTTTTTACCCATGAAAGCTTATGCCCTAATAAACATATCTGTTAGTCTCTAAAGTGCCACAGGACTCCTTGCAGTTCTTGCAGATACAGACTAACATGGCTACCCCTCAGAGATTTTAATATCAGGCGCATCTCAAAGAGAGCAGTGAAAAGAGCTGCAATATTAAAGGCACAACACTGGAAATAGTTATCGTAGCAAAGACTAGATTGAAAAAGAAAAGCCAACAGGACATTGACTTCACTGAAGCCAGCATAAGAGGTTTGCAAGAAGCAACCTATTTGTCTGCAGTTTTAGGTACTTATATTGCCTCTAATCACCACAGTACCTAAGCACCTCGGCTGCGTCTACACTGGTGTGATCTCAAGCAAAAGCTGCCGCTCTTGCACAAAAACTTGCTGCCTGTCTACACTGGCCGCATATTCTTGCGCAAGTAAACTGATGTTCTAATGTATGAAATCAGGGCTTCTTGCGCCAGAACTCTGACGCTCCCACTCAGAAAGAAGCCTTTTTGCGCAAGAGCTCTTCCAGAAGAGGCCAGTGTAGACAGGCAAACATGAATTTCTTGCACAACAAAGCCCTATGGTTAAAATGGCCATCAGAACTATCTTGCACAAGAGAGCATCTACACTGGCATGGATGCTCTTGTGCAAAAGCACATGCCAGTGTAGATGCTCTCTTGGGGTATGTCTACACTACCCCGCTAGTTCGAACTAGCGGGGTAGTGTAGACATACCCTTGTGGAAGAGTTTTTGTGCAAGAAGCTGCCAATGTAGATGTAGCCCTCAAACGTCAATATTTATCTTCAATACTTCTGTGAAGTAGGGCAGTGCTGTTATCCCCATGTTATAGATGGGGAATGGAAGCACGAATAAACTTTCCCAAGATCACACAAAAAGTCTGACTAAGCAGAGAACTGCACCTACGTCTCTCAAGTCCTGGAGTAGTGCTCTAATTATGAGAGTCTAGATCATACTTCTCTATAGCCCTCCTGACTTTACTACTCATGGGAGCAGGGCCCAACCTGCCTACCTTGGGAAACCCACACTGGGGTCTATTAGCATTTGGCTGAATCCATGCAAAAACAAAAAGGCCCTGAACGTCCATCTGGCCGAAATGCTATGTATTGCACACCCATCTGCGTCACCTCTCCTGGATAGCATTCTGATACCTCCATCCCTCCCGCAGGGCACCAGAGACTTAACAGGGATTTTCAGAACTTAATTTTTTTTAAAGAACATTATATAGACATTGCTTGCAATCCTTTTGTCAGCCCCTGGGCTGCTGCTCAGACAGTTACCATCTTCTCAGCTTGCCAGCCTGATGGATTTTCAGGCTGCTGATATATGGCATCCAAACATACAACTGGGCCTCTGAGTATCAGCAGAAGAAAGAAAGGGAGCAGGCCTTGTGGAATTGTTTTTCTCTAGTCCTGGGTCACCTGTAAAACATCCAAATAGTACCCCTTTTAGTAACGGCTCACATCAGCCTTGTATAAGAATATACCCAGTCTGTAGAGTGCTTGGTGACTCCATCTGACCATAATGTGCCATTAAAAATGGAATATTCTTTTAGGTGGTGTTACTGGTCCCGTTGATGATTTCGCTTACCAAGCACTTCCCTTTACAAAATGCTGTTTTCCGTTGCTTGTAACTTGTCAAACTTTAGCCATTAAAGCTGAAATTTTCCATGATGCCTCAGGCTGAATTTCTTTCTCTCTCTTTCTTTTTTATAATTGCAGACAAAACCAGCTGTTTCTGAGAACATGGCTAGTAAAAAATACATGTTTTGTTCCTGTTAAAAAAATTCTCGAGATCTTTTCTTTGAAAAAGTCTACAATCCCATTTTCCTGTCCCTGTAACACCATGACTGTGGTTTGGAGCAGAGACTTGGGATGAGGCAGAGGGGTTGCCATTTTGCCTTTCAGTCAGCAGGAGCTGACAGATTTGGCCAAGTTCTAAGACTTGGGGCAGGGGATATTAAAGTTCATCCATGATCAGTGGAGACTTGTCCACACTGGGCATGCTCCTGCCCAGGGCTGAGCAGAACTTCCCTTGAAATTATTGCAGGCCATGATGGGTCCCGGCACCTAAACTGAGAGCAAGGAGGCTGCCTCTCCTATGCTTTCAGTGACCCTTGTCTGGTGCGGCCTAGGAATCACAGAGGAGATAAGAGCCAGATTTTGCAGGAGACTGGAGGGAGTAGGGAAAAAAATTAGGAATTTTCAATGGTTACATGTTTACACGCAGGGGAGGGAGGGCAGCTCCACAAGCAGTGGCTCCCCCCCGGCCCCCCCGCCTCTGATACAGACACAGTAGCATGGGGTAGGGCTGCAGTAACCATGAAGGTAAATCGATGAGCCCAGGTTCATCGGTTAACCATTTACATTAGCACATGCCTACTAATAATACATATCTTACAGAACATTCATCTCCCTAATACTCCAGGGCTGTCACAACCTTGGAGAAAGATTTAAGTCATCAAATCCAAATGTCTTGCGTTTTGCAAATTTACTCTCTACCGCTTGAGTTTCTCTAGTCCAGCACCTTCAGGACCTGTTGGGTGCAGAATCAGAGAACTTGCCAAAATAAAGGAGGCCAATATTTTAATGAGTGGGTCTCTCTATTTTTATTTCACCAAGGTGAATAAACAGAACAATGCTTGTGATACTAATTAGTAATACGACTGTATTGATACATCCTATATAAGCGTATGTCTAACCAAGGCTTATCAGCTCTCTTCAAAACAGTGTTAGTGTTGTGGTGACATAATTTTACTGTATTGGCACAAGGAAATAAGTAGATAAAGCATAAAAGCCATGCTTATACTTAGCACTATTACCAACACTTCCACTGCTTACTGGACTCTTAGAAGACATTTAGGGGTAAATTAGAGCTAAATAAGAGCACAGAACATGGAAAGCCAGGACTGGTGGCTGTAAAGAAGTTTATAGAACCACAGAAAACTTGGCCATACCCATACCTGGACATCCAGCTAAAGTCATGCTGGATTACGGATGTTGCCAGACTAGACAGGTTCAATCTGTACCATCCTTCCCATAAAAATATCTTATTCTTACTCCTGAATTTGTGTCGTGAGCTATAATGAGCCAATGGAAACATCAGCACAGAAACCTTGCTATATAGAAAGCAGAGAGAATAAAACTCCGATCCTTCTCTGCTTAGTACTTCTCTTTTTCACCCTCCTTTTTGTTTCTTTACACAGTTGTGCTAACAAAGCTGGAGCAGAAGCTGCAGAAATTCAATATCCTTTTAAAAGAATCTTTTTTTTTTTCATTTGTCAACTAT